GTGTTGGAGACTGGTCCAACTCTCGTAGACTCACACACCACCACTAACACCACACTCACCATTGTGTTGGAGACTGGTCCAACTCTCGTAGACTCACACCATCACTAACACCACCACTCACCATTGTGTTGGAGACTGGTCCAACTCTCGTAGACTCACACACCACCACTAAACACACCACTCACCATTGTGTTGGAGACTGGTCCAACTCTCGTAGACTCACACACCACCACTAACACCACCACTCACCATTGTGTTGGAGACTGGTCCAACTCTCGTAGACTCACACACCACCACTAACACCACCACTAACACCACCACTCACCATTGTGTTGGAGACTGGTCCAACTCTGTGACTCACACACCACCACTAACACCACCACTCACCATTGTGTTGGAGACTGGTCCAACTCTCGTAGACTCACACACCACCACTAACACCACCACTCACCATTGTGTTGGAGACTGGTCCAACTCTCGTAGACTCACACACCACCACTAACACCACCACTCACCATTGTGTTGGAGACTGGTCCAACTCTCGTAGACTCACATACCACCACTAACACCACCACTCACCATTGTGTTGGAGACTGGTCCAACTCTCGTAGACTCACACACCACCACTAACACCACCACTCACCATTGTGTTGGAGACTGGTCCAACTCTCGTAGACTCACACACCACCACTAACACCACCACTCACCATTGTGTTGGAGACTGGTCCAACTCTCGTAGACTCACACACCACCACTAACACCACCACTCACCATTGTGTTGGAGACTGGTCCAACTCTCGTAGACTCACACACCACCACTAACACCACCACTAACACCACCACTCACCATTGTGTTGGAGACTGGTCCAACTCTCGTAGACTCACACACCACCACTAACACCACCACTCACCATTGTGTTGGAGACTGGTCCAACTCTCGTAGACTCACACACCACCACTAACACCACCACTCACCATTGTGTTGGAGACTGGTCCAACTCTCGTAGACTCACACACCACCACTAACACCACCACTCACCATTGTGTTGGAGACTGGTCCAACTCTCGTAGACTCACACACCACCACTAACACCACCACTCACCATTGTGTTGGAGACTGGTCCAACTCTCGTAGACTCACACACCACACTAACACCACCACTCACCATTGTGTTGGAGACTGGTCCAACTCTCGTAGACTCACACACACCACTAACACCACCACTCACCATTGTGTTGGAGACTGGTCCAACTCTCGTAGACTCACACACCACCACTAACACCCCACTCACCATTGTGTTGGAGACTGGTCCAACTCTCGTAGACTCACACACCACCACTAACACCCACCACTCACCATTGTGTTGGAGACTGGTCCAACTCTCGTAGACTCACACAACCACCACTAACACACCACTCACCATTGTGTTGGAGACTGGTCCAACTCTCGTAGACTCACACACCACCACTAAACACCACCACTCACCATTGTGTTGGAGACTGGTCCAACTCTCGTAGACTCACACACCACCACTAACACCACCACTCACCATTGTGTTGGAGACTGGTCCAACTCTCGTAGACTCACACACCACCACTAACACCACCACTCACCATTGTGTTGGAGACTGGTCCAACTCTCGTAGACTCACACACCACACTAACACCACCACTCACCATTGTGTTGGAGACTGGTCCAACTCTCGTAGACTCACACACCACCACTAACACCACCACTCACCATTGTGTTGGAGACTGGTCCAACTCTCGTAGACTCACACACCACCACTAAACACCACCACTCACCATTGTGTTGGAGACTGGTCCAACTCTCGTTAGACTCACACACCACCACTAACACCACCACTCACCATTGTGTTGGAGACTGGTCCAACTCTCGTAGACTCACACACCACCACTAACACCACCACTCACCATTGTGTTGGAGACTGGTCCAACTCTCGTAGACTCACACACCACCACTAACACCACCACTCACCATTGTGTTGGAGACTGGTCCAACTCTCGTAGACTCACACACCACCACTAACACCACCACTCACCATTGTGTTGGAGACTGGTCCAACTCTCGTAGACTCACACACCACCACTAACACCACCACTCACCATTGTGTTGGAGACTGGTCCAACTCTCGTAGACTCACACACCACCACGTAACACCACCACTCACCATGGGTTGGAGACTGTCCACTCTCGTAGACTCACACACCACCACTAACACCACCACTCACCATTGTTTGGAGACTGGTCCAACTCTCGTAGACTCACACACCACCACTAACACCACCACTCACCATTGTGTTGGAGACTGGTCCAACTCTCGTAGACTCACACACCACCACTAACACCACCACTCACCATTGTGTTGGAGACTGGTCCAACTCTCGTAGACTCACACACCACCACTAACACCACCACTCACCATGTGTGTTGGAGACTGGTCCAACTCTCGTAGACTCAACACCCACCACTAACACACCACCACTCACCATTGTGTTGGAGACTGGTCCAACTCTCGTAGACTCACAACCACCACTAACACCACCACTCACCATTGTGTTGGAGACTGGTCCAACTCTCGTAGACTCACACACCACCACTAACACCACCACTCACCATTGTGTTGGAGACTGGTCCAACTCTCGTAGACTCACACACACCACTAACACCACCACTCACCATTGTGTTGAGACTGGTCCAACTCTCGTAGACTCACACACCACCACTAACACCACCACTCACCATTGTGTTGGAGACTGGTCCAACTCTCTGTAGACTCACACACCACCACTAACACCACCACTCACCATTGTGTTGGAGACTGGTCCAACTCTCGTAGACTCACACCACCACCACTAACACCACCACTCACCATGTGTTGGAGACTGGTCCAACTCTCGTAGACTCACACACCACCACTAACACCACCACTCACCATTGTGTTGGAGACTGTCCAACTCTCGTAGACTCACACACCACCACTAACACCACCACTCACCATTGTGTTGGAGACTGGTCCAACTCTCGTAGACTCACACACCACCACTAACACCACCACTCACCATTGTGTTGGAGACTGGTCCAACTCTCGTAGACTCACACACCACCACTAACACCACCACTCACCATTGTGTTGGAGACTGGTCCAACTCTCGTAGACTCACACACCACACTAACACCACCACTCACCATTGTGTTGGAGACTGGTCCAACTCTCGTAGACTCACACACCACCACTAACACCACCACTCACCATTGTGTTGGAGACTGGTCCAACTCTCGTAGACTCACACACCACCACTAACACCACCACTCACCTTGTGTTGGAGACTGGTCCAACTCTCGTAGACTCACACACCACCACTAACACCACCACTCACCATTGTGTTGGAGACTGGTCCAACTCTCGTAGACTCACACACCACCACTAACACCACCACTCACCATTGGGTTGGAGACTGGTCCAACTCTCGTAGACTCACACACCACCACTAACACACCACTCACCATTGTGTTGGAGACTGGTCCAACTCTCGTAGACTCACACACCACCACTAACACCACCACTCACCATTGTGTTGGAGACTGGTCCAACTCTCGTAGACTCAACACACCACCACTAACACCACCACTCACCATTGTGTTGGAGACTGGTCCAACTCTCGTAGACTCACACACCACCACTAACACCACCACTCACCATTGTGTTGGAGACTGGTCCAACTCTCGTAGACTCACACACCACCACTAACACCACCACTCACCATTGTGTTGGAGACTGGTCCAACTCTCGTAGACTCACACACCACCACTAACACCACCACTCACCATTGTGTTGGAGACTGGTCCAACTCTCGTAGACTCACACACCACCACTAACACCACCACTCACCATTGTGTTGGAGACTGGTCCAACTCTCGTAGACTCACACACCACCACTAACACCACCACTCACCATTGTGTTGGAGACTGGTCCAACTCTCGTAGACTCACACACCACCACTAACACCACCACTCACCATTGTGTTGGAGACTGGTCCAACTCTCGTAGACTCACACACCACCACTAACACCACCACTCACCATTGTGTTGGAGACTGGTCCAACTCTCGTAGACTCACACACCACCACTAACACCACCACTCACCATTGTGTTGGAGACTGGTCCAACTCTCGTAGACTCACACACCACCACTAACACCACCCACTCACCATTGTGTTGGAGACTGGTCCAACTCTCGTAGACTCACACACCACCACTAACACCACCACTCACCATTGTGTTGGAGACTGGTCCAACTCTCGTAGACTCACACACCACCACTAACACCACCACTCACCATTGTGTTGGAGACTGGTCCAACTCTCGTAGACTCACACACCACCACTAACACCACCACTCACCATTGTGTTGGAGACTGGTCCAACTCTCGTAGACTCACACACCACCACTAACACCACCACTCACCATTGTGTTGGAGACTGGTCCAACTCTCGTAGACTCACACACCACCACTAACACCACCACTCACCATTGTGTTGGAGACTGGTCCAACTCTCGTAGACTCACACACCACCACTAACACCACCACTCACCATTGTGTTGGAGACTGGTCCAACTCTCGTAGACTCACACACCACCACTAACCACCACTCACCATTGTGTTGGAGACTGGTCCAACTCTCGTAGACTCACACACACCACTAACACCACCACTCACCATTGTGTTGGAGACTGGTCCAACTCTCGTAGACTCACACACCACCACTAACACCACCACTCACCATTGTGTTGGAGACTGGTCCAACTCTCGTAGACTCACACACCACCACTACACCCACCACTCACCATTGTGTTGGAGACTGGTCCAACTCTCGTAGACTCACACACCACCACTAACACCACCACTCACCATTGTGTTGGAGACTGGTCCAACTCTCGTAGACTCACACACCACCACTAACACCACCACTCACCATTGTGTTGGAGACTGGTCCAACTCTCGTAGACTCACACACCACCACGATCTGTGGAAAGAGATATTACTTTAGTCGGGATCTACATCTACCCTAACTTCTACATGACTTACATCTACCCTAACTTCTACATGACCTACATCTACCCTAACTTCTACATGACCTACATCTACCCTAACTTCTACATGACTTACATCTACCCTAACTTCTACATGACTTACATCTACCCTAACTTCTACATGACTTACATTACCCTAACTTCTACATGACTTACATCTACCCTAACTTCTACATGACTTACATCTACCCTAACTTCTACATGACTTACATCTACCCTAACTTCTACATGACTTACATCTACCCTAACTTCTACATGACTTACATCTACCCTAACTTCTACATGACTTACATCTACCCTAACTTCTACATGACTTACATCTACCCTAACTTCTACATGACCTACATCTACCCTAACTTCTACATGACCTACATCTACCCTAACTTCTACATGACCTACATCTACCCTAACTTCTACATGACCAATATCTGCCCTAACTTCTACATGACCTACATCTACCCTAACTTCTACATGACCTACATCTACCCTAACTTCTACATGACCTACATCTACCTAACTTCTACATGACCTATATCTACCCTAACTTCTACATGACCTACATCTACCCTAACTTCTACATGACTACATCTACCCTAACTTCTACATGACCAATATCTGCCCTAACTTCTACATGACCTACATCTACCCTAACTTCTACATGACCAATATCTGCCCTAACTTCTACATGACCTACATCTACCCTAACTTCTACATGACCAATATCTGCCCTAACTTCTACATGACCTACATCTACCCTAACTTCTACATGACCAATATCTGCCCTAACTTCTACATGACTTACATCTACCCTAACTTCTACATGACCTACATCTACCCTAACTTCTACATGACTTACATCTACCCTAACTTCTACATGACCAATATCTGCCCTAACTTCTACATGACTTACATCTACCCTAACTTCTACATGACCTACATCTACCCTAACTTCTACTGACTTACATCTACCCTAACTTCTACATGACCAATATCTGCCCTAACTTCTACATGACTTACATCTACCCTAACTTCTACATGACCAATATCTGCCCTAACTTCTACATGACCTACATCTACCCTAACTTCTACATGACCAATATCTACCCTAACTTCTACATGACCTACATCTACCCTAACTTCTACATGTCTTACATCTACCCTAACTTCTACTGACCAATATCTGCCCTAACTTCTACATGACTTACATCTACCCTAACTTCTACATGACCTACATCTACCCTAACTTCTACATGACTTACATCTACCCTAACTTCTACATGACCAATATCTGCCCTAACTTCTACATGACTTACATTCTACCCTAACTTCTACATGACCAATATCTGCCCTAACTTCTACATGACCTACATCTACCCTAACTTCTACATGACCAATATCTACCCTAACTTCTACATGACCTACATCTACCCTAACTTCTACATGACTTACATCTACCCTAACTTCTACATGACCAATATCTGCCCTAACTTCTACATGACCTACATCTACCCTAACTTCTACATGACCAATATCTGCCCTAACTTCTACATGATCTACATCTACCCTAACTTCTACATGACCTACATCTATCCTAACTTCTACATGACCTACATCTACCCTAACTTCTACATGACTTACATCTACCCTAACTTCTACATGACCTACATCTACCCTAACTTCTACATGACCTACATCTACCCTAACTTCTACATGACTTACATCTACCCTAACTTCTACATGACCTACATCTACCCTAACTTCTACATGACCAATATCTGCCCTAACTTCTACATGACCTACATCTGCCCTACATGACGTTCCTCCTTGATGCCACTTGCATGCAAACACAGTTGCTGTAATCAAAGTAACTAGTAAACCCAGTATACAGTAGGGATACCTGTAATCACTGGGGTATCCCCAACTCGTGTATGATCCCTTGAATAATTATTCAAGGGATGACTGTGTGGCATTCTACTATTATTGTGCTATACCTCGGCTACATCACCGTCTGAGGTTGTAGGAGAGGTTGTAGGATAAGTTGTAGGAGAGGTTGTAGGAGAGGTTGTAGGAGAAGTTGTAAGAGAGGTTGTAGGAGAGGTTGTAGGAGAAGTTGTAGGAGAGGTTGTAGGAGAGGTTGTAGGAGAAGTTGTTAAGAGAGGTTGTAGGAGAGGTTGTAGGAGAAGTTGTAAGAGAGGTTTGTAGGAGAGGTTGTAGGAGAAGTTGTAAGAGAGGTTGTAGGAGAGGTTGTAGGAGAAGTTGTAAGAGAGGTTGTAGGAGAGGTTGTAGGAGAAGTTGTAAGAGAGGTTGTAGGAGAGGTTGTAGGAGAAGTTGTAAGAGAGGTTGTAGAGAGGTTGAGGAGGAGTTGGTAGGAGGTTGGTAGGAGAGGTTGGTAGGAGAGTTGGTAGGAGAGTTGGTAGGAGAGTTGGTAGGAGAGTTGTAGGAGAGTTGTAGGAGAGGTTGTAGGAGAGTTGGTAGGAGAGTTGTAGGAGAGGTTGTAGGAGAGTTGGTAGGAGAGTTGGTAGGAGAGTTGGTAGGAGAGTTGGTAGGAGAGTTGGTAGGAGAGTTGGTAGGAGAGTTGGTAGGAGAGTTGGTAGGAGAGTTGGTAGGAGAGTTGTGTTGGTAGGAGAGTTGGTAGAGGTTGGTAGGAGAGTTGTGAGTTGTAGAGAGTTGTAGGAGAGTTGGTAGGAGAGTTGTAGGAGAGGTTGTAGGAGAGTTGGTAGGAGAGTTGGTGGGAGAGGTTGTAGGAGATTTGGTAGGAAGTTGGTGGAGAGGGGTAGGAGAGTTGGTAGGAGTTGGTTAGGGAGTTGGTAGGGGGTTTGGGAGGAGTTGGAAAAATTTGGTGAGGGAAGGTTGTAGGGAGGTTGTAGGGAGTTGGAGGAGATTTGGGTGGGGAGATTGGTAGGGATTTGGTGGGTAGTTGGAGGAGAGTTGGTAGGGGGTTGTAGGAGAGGTAGGAGAGTTGGGGTAGGAGATTTGGTAGGAGAGTTGGTTTGGAGATTTGGTTAGGAGGTTTGGTGGAGGTTGGGTGGGAGGGGTTGTGGGGAATTGGGTAGGAGATTGGGGGAAAGTTGGTGGAGAGTTGGTGGAGGGGTTTGAGGAGAGTTGGTGGGTATTGGTAGGAAGGGTTGGTGGGAGATTGGTGGGGAGATTTGGTAGGAGAGTTGGTAGGAGAGGTACGGAGGGAAAAAGGAGAGGCTACAGGAGAGGCGTGGAGGGGCCAGGAAGAAAGGGCAAAGGGGGTAGGAGGGGGCTGTAGGAGAGGTACGGGAGAGGCTACAGGAGGGTACGGGAGGCAGGGAGGCACGGAGAGGCAAAGGGAGACACAGGGAGGCTGTGGAGGGGTGTAGGAGAGGACGGGAGAGGCTGTAGGAGGGGGCTACAGGAGAGGCTACGGGAGAGCTAAGGAGGGCTGTGGGAGAGGCTGTAGGGGGTAAGGAGGGCTGTGGGAGGGGCTACGGGAGAGGCTGTAGGGAGGTGAGGAGGGGGCTACAGGAGGGGAAAGGGAAATACGGGAAAGGGCGGGGGCTGTAGGAGAGGTCAGGAGAGGCTACAGGAGGGGCTACAGAGGCTGTGGGAAGGGGCGTGGAGAGGTCAGGAGGGGCTGTAGGAGGGGGTCAGGAGGGCTAAGGGAGAGGCTACAGGAGAGGGAGGAGAGGCTGTGGAGAGGCTACAGGAGAGGCAAAGGGAGAGGCTACAGGAGAGGCTTGGGAGGGGCTGTAGGGAGGCACAGGAGGGGGTTACGGGAAAAAATACAGGAGGGGCTGTAGGAGGGTGTGGGAGAGGCACAGGAGAGGCTGTAGGGAGGTGTGGAGGGGCACAGGAGAGGCTCAGGAGAGGTACAGGAGAACTACAGGGGGTTGTAGGAGAGGCTTGGGAGAGGTCGGGAGGCTAAAGGAAGGCTGTGGAGGGCTGTAGGAAGGCTACAGGAGAGGCGTGGGAGGCTACAGAAGGCTACAGGAGAGGAAAAAGGGCTTTAGGGAGGGGCTGTAGGAGAGGTAAGGGAGGCTGTAGGAGGGCTACGGAGAGGTTTTGGAGAGGTTAGGAGGGGCTACAGGAGAGGTACAGGAGAACTACGGGAGACTGTAGGAGGGCTGGGGGAGAGGCTACAGAAGGTGAGGGGGGCTACAGGAGGGCTGTGGGAGGGGTGTAGGAGAGGCTACAGGGGCGTAGGGGGCTACGGGGAAGGTGTGGGAGGTACAGCAGAGGCTGTAGGAGGGGTACAGGAGAGGCTTGAGGGGGGCTACAGGAGAGGCTGTAGGAGGCTACAGGAGGGCTGTGGGGGATGTACGGAAAGGGTGTGGGAGGCTACCGAGAGGCTGTGGGAGGCTACAGGAGGGCTGTAGGAGGGGTACAGAAAGGGCTGTAGGAGAGGCTACGGGAGGGGGGCTGAGGAGAGGCACAGGAGGGTTGTAGGAGAGGCTACGGGGAAGGTTAGGAGGGCTTGGGAGGGGTACGGAGGGGTGTGGAGGCTCGGGAGAAGACGGGAGAGGCTCAGGAGAGGCTGTGGGAGAGGCTAAGGAGAGGCTGTAAGACTACAGGAGAGGCGTAGGGGGGTTACAGGAAGGCTGTGGGAAAAAGGCTGTAGGAGAGTTTTTCAGGAGACTGTAGGAAAGGAAAGGGAGGGGGAGGGGAAGGGGCTACAGGGGGCTCGGAGAGGCGTAGGAAGGCTGTGGGAGGGGCTACGGGAGAGGCTGTAGGAGAGGCTGTGGGAAAGGGGCGTAGGAGAGGCTTTGGGAGGGCTACGGGGGAGGGCTTAGGGAGGTATAGGAGGCTACAGAGAGGCTGTAGGAGGGCTACAGGAGAGGTGTAGGAGAGGCACAGGAGAGGCTGTGGGAGAGGTACGGAGAGGCTGTAGGAGAGGACAGGAGGGGCTGAGGAGGGCTACGGGAAGGCTACAGGAGGGGCTACAGGGAGAGGTACGGGAGGGCTGGGA